GCAGCTTCACCTGCTGTGCCACAAAGCTAGCCCCTGAATTTACCTTTTAATTCCATTTTTCACAAACTTCTTAAGGTACATTGGCAGGAGCATTTGAACAGAGTAGCAGAGGTTAGGACTACATATAAGAAAACTTTCTATAACTACATAAATCCTTTTTATAACTTCCTAAAGTGGGGTAAATGGACACATTCATTACAGCCTTCATGATATAGCCCCTCTCAGGGCCAGCATTGTGGCACAGCAGGATAGTCACTGCCTGCAACACTGGAAGCCCATAATGAGAACTGGATCAAATCCAGGTTGCTCCACTACTAATCCAACTCCCTGCTAATGCACCTGGGAAGGCAGTAGAAGATGACCCAAGTACTTAGGCCCCTGTTACCCAAATGGGAAACTCAAATCAAGTTCCAGGCTCCTGGCTTTGGCCTGGCTATTGCAGCCATTTAGGGAGTAAACTAGTAGAACTCCCTCTCCCCCCTCCCTCTCCCTTCTGCCTTTCAAATAAATAAAATCTTTTTTTTTAAAAAAAAGTTCCTTTCAAATAAATAAATCTGTAAAAGAAAAAAGATGTAGCCTCTCTACAGCGTTTGAAAACAAGAAGCAGGGCTGGCGCCTTGGCACAGTAGGTTAATAGTCCGCCTGTGGCACCAGCATCCCATTTGGGCACCGATTCTAGTCCTGGTCGCTCCTCTTCCAGGCCAGCTCTCTGCTGTGGCCCGGGAGGGCAGTGGAGGATGGCCCAAGTACTTGGGCCCCTTTACCCGCATGGGAGACTGGGAAGAAGCACCTGGCTCCTGGCTTCAGATCGGTGCAGCTCTGGCCATTCCGGCCATTTGGGGAGTGAACCAACAGAAGGAAGACCTTTCTCTCTGTCTCTCTCTCTGTCTATAACTCTACCTGTCAAATAAATAAATAAAATCTTTAAAAAAAGAAAATAATAAGCAAAGGTAGTTAAATTATGCTTAATTGAAAACAATGTTTCAGAGTTCCAGCACTGAGGACAGCAGCCCCAGCAGTGTGGCTTTGGTGTCATTCAGAGAAGGTAATCCCACAGAGATGACTTCATCTCCTTGGCTCTGGGGAAGCAAGAGCATTGGAATGCTGTCTATGAGAGAGAACTACAAACTTTGCAGGAATATGGAGATACAAAAGAAATCTGGTTTGGAGAAGAGAGTGTGACTTGACTAATAAGATGATGAAGAAACAGAATATTCCACTGGATGCAACCAGTGCTTCATATTGGAATTGGATATAGTGTTTTCCTGGTTGAACCTGCAAAATTTGGTTTCAGTAATATTATTGGCATTGAGTACTCTCCTTCAGCAATTCAGATTTCTGGAAGTATCCTAGAGAAAGAAGGGCTATCTAACTTTAAGTTGAAGGTATAAGATTTTTGAATCTTTCCACAAAGCTGTCTGGATTTAAAATTTGTATTGACAAAGGGTCTTTTGATGCCATAAGCCTTAATCTTGACAATGCAGTTGAGAAGAGGAAGCAATATGTGAAATCTCTCTCCAGGTGCTGAAACTAAAAGGCTTTTTTCTAATAACCTCATGTAATTGGACCAAGGCAGAGTTCTGAAGGAATTCAGTGAAGGATATTTTGTGGGCCATCACTGTGGTGTAGCTGGTTAAGCTACTGTCTGCAGTGTTGGCATTCCATATCGGCACCAGTTTGAGTCTTGGCTGCTCCACTTCTTATCCAGCTCCCTACTAATGAGTTTGGGAAAGCAGCGGACAATGGCCCAAGTCCTTGGGCCACTATACCCAAAAAAAGCTCCTGGCTCCTGACTTTGGCCTGCCCCAGCCCCAGCCATTGCAGACATTTAGGGAATGAACCAGTGTATGGTGGAGCTTTCTCACTCGCTCCCTCCCTCTATAACTCTAGTTTCCAAATAAATAAATAAATCTTTAAAAAAAGTTTCATTACTCTCTTTTCTTTAGGAATTACCTAGCCTACCAATGACTAACCATGAACTCATTCAATTTAATGCCATCACATGATTGATTAAAGATCTTGGAAAAATCTTCACGTAGGCATACTTCAAAGCATAGTTGTTATTGAAATAAAGTTTGTTGGAATAATGATTTAATTTAGTTGAATACGATTTACATTTTTCACAATTGCAAACATTGTTAGGAATAATGTTAACTAACTTGATCAGAATATGTGTGCAAGTTTAAAAAAAATATCACCCAAGAAAAACAAAAAGTATGCTTATATTACACTTGACAATGGTAAGTCAGAAAAAAAGACATAAGCCAAAGAATCATGTTAATTATGTAATCTTTTCTCCATTAGTTTCTGTAAGATGTTTTATTAAAGTCTAGCACATTTAAAGTGTTAGAAGTTCAATTTTCTAGGAATTTAAGAACATTCAGTTTATGTATGTATTCAGGTTCTTTAATTGAACAATGGTGCTCCTTCACTATCTTCCAGATATAAGAAAAGATTTCATAGACAACAATGAGAAGTTAAGGAAGGTATTTCTGAGTAACAGCCACACAGATACAAAGAAAGCTTAAAACTTCAGCCGCATAGCGGGTTAAGCTGCTGCCTGCAAAGCTGGCATCCCATATGGACTCCGGTTTGAGTCCCGCTGTTCCACTTCCAATCTCACTCTCTGCTAATGAGCCTGGGAAAACAGTAGAAGATTGTCCAAGTGCACGAGCCCCTGCCCTTGGATGGGAGAACCGGTGCAAACTCCTGGTTCCTGGCTTTAGACCAGCCTAGCATTGCCCACTGCGGCCACTTGGGGAGTGAACCAGCAGATGGAAGATATCACTCTTTCTAGCTCCCTTCTCCCTGTAGCTCTCTACCTTTCTAATAAAATAAATCTTAAAAAAAAAAAAAGAGTCAACATAAAAACAAATCCTAATCAACCCAGAGATCAAAAAGCTATTCTTCCTGGTCGTATAAATTCTTAAATGATTTGAATATGAAATAAATAAACACACAAACAAAAGTAATAAATGCCTTCTATCATCTCTTGCCTAACGGAAGACAGGGCTTTATAATCCATTATTACTAATCTATACAATCTATTAATACAGGTCAAAGTCATACTATAAAACTGAATTCTCCCTTACTGCTGCTACCAAACATGTTTGTATCAAAAACAAAATAACAATAATGAAGAAAAAGGGTGCCAGTGCTGTGGCATAACGGGTACAGCTGCCGCCTGCAGTGCTGGCACCCCATATGGGCACCAGTTCAAGGCCCGGCTGCTCCATTTCTGATCCAGCTCTCTGCTATGGCCTGGGAAAGCAATAGAAGATGGCCCAAGGCCTTGGGCCCCTGCACCCACCTGGGAAACCTGGAAGAAGCTCCTGGCTCCTGGCTTCAGATTGGCACAGCTCCGGCCGTTGCGGCCAATTGGGGAGTGAACCAGCGGATGGAAGAGCTCTCTCTCTCTTTCTCTGCCTCTTCTCTCTCTGCGTACCTCTGACTTTTAAATAAATAAATAAATCTTTTAAAAAAATGAAGAAAAAAGAGAAAGGAAAAAATCAACTTTTAACAAATGTTAATTTTAAGCACCAACATGATCATCTCACAATATGGTATTAATATTAAATATACAAGAATTTTAATTTTCATGCTTTGTTATTAAATAGCAAAATATTCACTCTTAAGAGTCACATACCACAGTATGTTGAGCCATCACTTACAACACTGCATCCTCTATCAGACTGATGCCTTTAATTCTTTCTTGTGCCAACACAAGAACCTCTATTCCAGCCATTTCCACTAATAGTCAATTATTGCTTTCACATAGAAGAAATGGTTTCCGCAGGTTAGCGTGCCTTGTGGTAAAATTCAGAGCAACTGAGGCATATGCATAAATTATAAGTTCAGGATGTTTTAGGACAGGTAAGATTTTTAAATGTCTTTATCTTTAAATTTCAATACATATTCATATTTTATTCCTCTTATTGGGCAGAAAATGATTGTAATTATGTATTTTTATTTAACCATGGCTTTTCTACATTCATTATTGAGCTGTAGTTGCACTGTACCATTAATTTCTGAAATTTGGTATCAACAAAGGGATAACAACATTATCACTCCTCAAAGATAACTACCCATTGTACAAGATTTATAGGAAACACCCTATAGAAATAGGAGTCTGTCTTCTCAGCCTACTATTTTAGGCTTAATTCACCTCCAATTCTTTTCTGCTTTAAAATAATTTCTTCTCTTGGTTTCTGTGGATATATTCAGGCAGGCCAATATATAAACTTGAAGTGACTTAAAGTGAGATTTTAAGCTGGAAACACAAAACACATTAGAACGAGATAAAACAGGCAATAATTAACAGTATGATGGTGGCAGGAGTTTTTACACCTGTCTCTTGTACCTGCCTGATAAAGTGTAATTTCTCTGTGGCACTCATGCTGATTTATAATCTACAGTTTAAATGGTTCAGTGTAAAGGCTCAATGGGTTACAGATCTAGGCTTCATTCCTTACTACCTCTATTTTACATAAAAAGTGTGCTAAGGGAGTTGACCAGTCTCTTTGCAGCTTCCAAGAGACCCTCCAGCAATCTGGTTTTTGGACAACTGGAGTTGAAAGAGCCTACGAATGATTTTTAAAAAGGCACTTTTACTTTTTATCCCCCTCCAGCTTCGCAGCCTCGAATTAAAACTATTTAACTCACATGTATCTTGGAAAAACATAGTAGCAAGTAAAGAACCCCAAACTTTTCTATTATTAAAAGAACTGAAGTGCCCAAGAAATGACCCCAGCATAATTCTAGGGATAGACTGGTTGGTCTTTTTTTTTTTAATACTACTAAAGAAAAATTATATTAGGCATTTTCTTATCCCTTTACGGTGAGGGTCTCAAGAGCAGTTAGACGCCGAGTTTACAGCAAGAGCCTAGAAAGAAACCCTCAGTCTTTGGCTCCACCCCACTGGGGACACAGGCATGGGTCCTGCCGCCCCCTGGCGGTCCCGGTCGACTTCCGCTTCTGCCACGGACCACGGGCCACCGCACGCGTGGCCTACGCCACGTCACATCCGGTCCTTGCGAGTGGAACCCGCGCGATGAAGTGCGTGTTCGTTACCGTAGGGACCACCTGCTTTGTCGACCTCATTGCGCGTGTCTCGGCGCACGAGAGTCTGCAAGTGAGTGGGGGAGGGGCGCGGGCGACGTCTGAGCTCGCCGCGCTTCGCCCGCCGAGGCCAGTCTTAACTCCTGGCCCCGGTAACCTTGCCTGACCGCAACGCTGGGAAAGAAATTACCACAGCTGTACCTCAGGTGCGGCCGTCCCTTGATTGGCTTTTCACTGCGCCCGGTCGAGCCCGCTTCCGGCTCTGCTCAGCCCCTCTAGGTCCTCCACTTCCCCCTCCCGGTCCCCCGTCATTTCTCAGGGCCGAGCCTCCTCGTCCTTTCGGTGGCTCCTCCTTTCCCAGGCTTTTTTCCTTGGGATTCTCCGCCTTCGCCCCTCCTCCCTAACGGCTCCGCCCTCAGAGCTGGGGCTTCTGCCCAGCCGCGACACCCCGTCGTGTTCGGCCTTCCAGTCTGTGGGGTGCCCTCAGAGCTGGCGTCCTCGGGCTTCGCGGCGTCCCCTGAGCGCGTCCCCCTCGAGGCTTGCGGTTCTCGCAGCCCAACTCGTGAGGAGGTAGAGCTCTGCTGTTCCCTGCTTCTCTCTGGCTAGTTTGCGACCCTCTTTTCAAAGTCTAACCCTGCTCTCCTTTTAGCCGTGCTGGTTCTTTCCCGACTTGTTAAGCTGGGTCACCGAAATCCGTCTGGGATAGTGAGGTTCCTGGGTCGGGCCCGGGACGGGCAAAGTTGGGAAAATTAAGGTTGTTTGGTAGCCCGTGCTCGGGTCTGCACGCTGGCTTTTAGGATTTGTTAACTGCGGTTTTCTCGGGAGGCAGTTTAAAAGGCCCGCGTTTTCTTATTTCCTGTTTCAGATAACCAAGAGCTTTGGTTACAACCAACTTGTCCTCCAAACTGGCAGAGGAACTGTAGTACTCGAACCGTTCAGTGCTGAGTCTTTTACTCTGAATGTTTACAGGTACAAGGATTCCTTGAAAGAAGACCTTCAGAAAGCAGATCTTGCTATTAGTCACGCAGGTAAAATGCCTTAGAATCTCAGGATTTGGTCTTTGCCACATAACAAAAAACGAGTTGACACCGGGACCTTTCTGTCGCCAGAATTCCGAATGGTAGCCCTTTTGAACATATGATTACTGGAATTATTTGAATGTAACAATTGAGAACTTTATGGGAATTTAGTATTTCTGGATGAGCGAAGGATGGAAAATTCATCACCATAGCTCAACTTTCTGATAAGAAAGCTAAGCACAGAGAGGGAGATAGTTAGTTCATGCAATGACACCTGTAGTGAACTGTGAACTTGAAATTAGTATTTGGGCTTAGATCTGAAGCAATGTTTAGCTTGCTGATGGGTTGGGTTGGTCATGGTGAAATTCACTTTGAAAGATTTTTTTGCATTTCTATTAAAAGTGTGTGAAACGAATTCAGAAATATTCTTTAGCAGCTATATATCATGCAAATCACTGCCTGCTTTTCAGAGAACCATCCTAATGATCTAGTTAATTAGACTTCAGTTCCCTTATAATTGCATTTAGGAAGCATTGCAGTTTTCACTGCCAGGAGGGAGGATATTCCTGGTTTTTAAAGAGTCTAGTTTTTAAAGAGTCTAGTTAAAGAGGAGAGAAAGTCATTAGAAACAGACGTTACTAACAGATTGGTGATCAAAAACTTAGAAAATAGTAGCTAAAGAGCTTTTGGAACTGCTCTGAATGCTTTGTGTATTTTATCTTGTTTGATTCTTACATACAAAGGAAATAAGAGGAAATTCCAGAAGCTTCATGGCAGTTATAATTAAACAATGTTTATTTTGGTGCAAAAACTTGAAATCCATGAGTAACTTTTTTCATAACACATTTTCCATCAACTTTTTATGTACTTGTGTTTCTCCATTTTACAGATGAGGAAACAGAAACGTGTTAAGTTAGTTGTCCAGTCAGTAAGTGGTGGAAAGATAACAATTAATTACCCCCTCCTATAAAAGGTACTGTCTACATATCAGTGTTCTTGTTCCCATTTAAAATAGCTGGGTGATTTTAGATTCAAAGTTGAATTGATCCTAATATTTTATGGGTGAAAATTCATAGCAGTCTAACCATTCTGGGTATGGCACCTCAAGGGTAGACTCATAAGGAGTGGGCAGAGCTTTGCTTTATTATTAGTTTTTCACATAGCAGGCTTGCCTTTTCTATTTGTGTTTGAATAGAAGTAAACTGTGACTGTCCCTTGGTATCCTTGGAGGGTGGGTTCCAGTACCCTGTGCAGATGCTCCAGTCTCTTATCTAAAATAGAATAGTATTTGCATGTGGCTTAGACATATCCTTCCATAAACTGCACTTGAAATCATCTCAAGATTGCTTATAATACCTAATACAGTGTAATGCTATATACATGATAGTTATAAAAGGTTACTTCAAAAATTTTATGGAAAATAGAATTAAAAGATAAGTTTATTGATACAAAAACTTTGAAACCCACAGATTTTTAATAATGTTCACTTTCCGTGAATTTTTCAAGACTCTAGTATACATGAATTTCAAAAAAAATTATCAAAATAAACTTTTTATTTATTTGAAATGCAGAGTAAAAGAGATGCCTTCCATCTGTTGGTTCATTCTTGACATACCTGCAACAGCCAGGGCTGGGCAATGCCAAAGCCAGAAGCCTGGAGCCTAGAACGCCATCCGGGTTTCTCAAATGGGTGGCAGTGATCCAAGGACTTGAGTCATTGTATGCTGCCTCCCAGAGTGTGCATTAAAAGGAAGCTGGGTTAGAAGTAGAGGCTGGGGGCCAGAATCCTGGCACAGCAGCTTAAGCTGCTGTCTGGGATGCCAACATTGCATATGGGTACCTGTTCTAGTCTTTGTTGTACTGCTTTCGATCCAGCTGCCTGATGATGCACCATGGAAAGCAGCAGAAGATGACCCAAGCACTTAGTCCCCTGTCACTTATGGGAGACTTCATGGAGTTCCAGGCTCCTGGCTTCTGTGAACCCATAAAAAGAAAAGTCTGCTCTTTGAGCATGCATCCCAATGTTAAAAAATGAAGAAGTGGAGGCTAGGCTAGAGTAGATCCCAGGCATTCTGCCACAATGCCTGCCCTGAAAATAAACTTTTTTTTTAAAAAAAAGATTTATTTGTTTGAAAGTTAAAAGAGGCAGAGGTGGGGAGAGAGAGAAAGATAACAGACACACTTTCAGTCTATTGGTTCACTCCCCCAAAGACCACAATGTCCAGGGCTGAGCCAGGCTGAAGCCTGGATCCAGGAGCTTCTTCTGGGTCTCCCATGTGCATGCAGGAACCCAAGCATGTGGAACATTTTCCACTGCTCTCCCAGACATATTAGCAGCGAGCTTGAACCAGCACCCATATGGGATGCCGGTGCTGCAGATGGCAGCTTTACCTGCTACACCACAGTGCTGGTCCCAAAAATAAACTTTTAACTCCATTTTTCCACAAACTTTTAAAAGTATTCTTGTATTATTTAGGGAGTAATGACAAGAAAAAAATCTAAACATGTTTTGTACAGATCCAGTTTATTTCCAGAATATTGTTTTTTAAAGATTATTTATCTGAAAGGCAGAGTCAGAGAGAGGGAGAGACAAAGACAGATCTTCCACCCACTAGTTCACTCCCCAAATGATTGCAATGGCTGGGTCTGGAACAGGCCCAAGTCAGGAGCCTGAAATTTCAGCTGAGTCTCACACGTGGGTGGCAAGGGCCAGCATTGTGGCGCAGCAGGTTAAGCTGCTACTAGACACTGGACTCCCGTATGAGTGCCGGTTTGAGTCCAGGCTGCTCCACTTCCAATCCAGCTCCTTGCTAATGCACCTGATAAAGTAGCAGAAGATGAACCAAGTATTTGGGCTCCTGTCACTCACATAGGAGATTGGGATGGAGTTCCAGGCTCCTGGCTTTGGCCTGGCACAGCCTCATCTGTTGCAGCTATTTGGGGAGTGAACTAGTGGGTGGAAGATCTGTCTCTGTCCCTCTCTGTGACTCTTTCAAATAAATCTTTTTTTTAAATCGTATTAATAAATTTGATCTTTGGGGGCTAGTGCTGTGGTGAAGTGGGCTAGAGCCCTGGCCTGCAGTGTCAGCATCCCATATGTGCACTGGTTCAAGTCCTGGCTGTTCCACTTTCTATCCAGCTCCCTGATGATGCGCCTGGGAAAGCAGCTGAGGATGGCCTAAATCCCTGGGCCCCAGTACCCACGTGGGAGACTTGGAAGAAGCTCCTGGCTCCTGGCTTCAGATTGGCTCAGCTCCAGCGGTTATCTGGGGAGTGAACCAGCGGATGGAAGACCTCTCTGTCTGTCCGTCTCTCTCTCTCTCTCTCTCTCTCTCTACCTCTCTACCTCTCTACCTCTCTCTATATACCTCTGTCTCTACCTCTGTAACTCTTTCAAACAAATAAAATCTTTTTAAAAATTAACCTTTTTTTGGTAGGTGCAGGAAGCTGGAGACTCTGGAAAAAGGAAAGCCACTGTGGTAGTTATAAATGAAAAGTTGATGAATAATCAACTGGAATAATCAGCTGAAATTGGCAAAGCAGCTGTACAGAGAGGGGCATCTCTTCTACTATACTTGCAGGTATACTAGAGACCGATTATTTGACCACTAAGCATAATTCCTCCCTGACTGTTCTTATCTACTCACCTAGCCCGCCTGTCTTCTTTTAGCTGTTCTCTTCTCCTGCTTACCAAGCATACTTTGATTTTTCTCACCTATAAAATCATCTCATTTGTTTCTTTCCCTTTTTAACTGATCTCTGTGTTACATGCTTTTCTATGTATGTGACTGTTTCTTTACATGTGAGTATCTGGGTGTACAAGTCTCTGAGAATCTAATTTTTATGTTCATCATTTAGATATTCAGTATTCAGGGGAGGCATTTACTTACTTTAGTTAAAGTTTTGCATTTAGTAAGCCCACTGGCATCCCTAAATTAAATTTACTCATTCATGTATTCAACTGTACCTAATATGTAGTAGATGCTGTTTTAGGTATTGTGGATACAGTGGTAAAAAAGAGGTAAAGTCCCTGTGCTCATAGTGCTTACATTCTAGTGGTGGTTGATTAGCAAGCAGTAAATAAGTACACAAATAATCACAATAATTTCACCTGAAGGAATGTCCTGTAAAGAAAATAAGACCTGGGGTGAAGAACAATTAGATATAATTGTCAGGAGAGGTTTGACATGATCTTTGAGCTGAGGCTTGAATTCCATGGAAGAGCCAGTCATGTGAAGCTGTAGAGGTAGAGGAACAGCAATTGCAAAAGCCCAAAATTAGGAGTAAAGTTGGAATTTTGTGTGCTTGAGGAGCAAAGGGAAGGTTAGTGTGGCAGGAACATAGCAAGGGAGAATGTAGTGAAAGATAAGGCTGAGCAGGTATCATTCACGTGAGAGTTCTGATTTTATTCTGTATTAAGTGAGAAGTCTTTGGAGCGTTTTAAGTAGGGGGATTACTTTATGGTAAGAAGTATTATTTTCTTTTCTTTTTTTTTTTTTGACAGGCAGAGTGGACAGTGAGAGAGAGAGACAGAGAGAAAGGTCTTCCTTTGCCGTTGGTTCACCCTCCAATGGCCGCCGCAGCCGGCGCACCGCGCTGATCCGATGGCAGGAGCCAGGAGCCAGGTGCTTTTCCTGATCTCCCATGGGGTGCAGGGCCCAAGCACCTGGGCCATCCTCCAGTGCACTCCCTGGCCACAGCAGAGAGCTGGCCTGGAAGAGGGGCAACTGGGACAGAATCCGGCGCCCCGACCGGGACTAGAACCCGGTGTGCCGGCGCCGCTAGGCGGAGGATTAGCCTAGTGAGCCGCGGCGCCGGCCAAGAAGTATTATTTTCTACAAGTGTGTTAGAATTCAACAAGAACTGATTGACATCATAATAGGAGGATGAAGAAAATTGCTGGTTTGTTTTCTATCGTTCTTCCTTAAGATACTGGAAGCTTCCCAAAGGGCTGGTCAGTAGTTCCTAACTGACTTTAAAACATATCCTAATTTGATGTTTTGAAGAGTAAAAGCATAGAAGTATTTAAAATTACTTATTTTTGTTATATTGAAGTTAATTTAGAATAAAAATAAGTAAACCATAGAAGAAATTGGCTACACCATAATAAGCTTTCCTTTTAATTTTCCTATTTTATCTTTTAGGCACTCACTAAATACTTGTTCATTCATTAATACTTATTGAGCACCTACCACGTGCAAGGTATTGTTCTAGGAACTTGCTATATACATCAGTGAACAAAATAAAGATTCTTACTCTCATCAAGAGGACACAGATTCATTCATTCAGGAGTAAAATTGTTGGTGGCCTCCTTTGTATACTGACAGAGATGTTAGAGGGTTCTATAATGTAGAAGCTGGTTTTGAAGCATTGTGAGTCAGTGGAGAAGCTAGATGATTAAAATTATGTATGCTTTAGATAATGGGCATATCTGTCTTTAGGTAACTGAGATTGCTAGGGGTTAACATCAGTTTTTAAGATAAATAAACTTTCATTTTCCTAACTGGTTTATGCGAATCTATTTTTCCAGATACATTTGAGGAATATTTTCACTTTAAATGATACAGCTGTGACTTTAAGTTAGTACCTTATAAAGGGAGAAACATTGACCATTGACTTCAGAAACACATGCTGGCCGGCGCCGCGGCTCACTAGGCTAATCCTCCACCTAGCGGCGCCGGCACACCGGGTTCTAGTCCCGGTCGGGCGCCGGATTCTGTCCCGGTTGCCCCTCTTCCAGGCCAGCTCTCTGCTGTGGCCAGGGAGTGCACTGGAGGATGGCCCAAGTGCTTGGGCCCTGCACCCCATGGGAGACCAGGAAAAGCACCTGGCTCCTGGCTCCTGCCATCGGATCAGCGCGGTGCGCCGGCCGCAGCGCGCCGGCCGCAGCGGCCATTGGAGGGTGAACCAACGGCAAAGGAAGACCTTTCTCTCTGTCTCTCTCTCTCACTGTCCACTCTGCCTGTAAAAAAAACAAAACAAAACAAAACAAAACAAAAAAACACATGCTGACATTTTACCGAGGTCTAAAGGGAAACAAGGGAAACTGTATACTTCTTTAATTTGCTCATTTTTTCCCACAGTTTTAGAAGTTTTTTTTTTTTTTTTAAGAAAGTCACATACGTGAAAGCAGTAAGAATCAATAATTGGTTGTATTTTTATTTTAGGTAAATCATTTTTTTTTCCAAATTTAGACTGGTTGGTTTAATATCTGTTCAAATTGAAGTGGCTGATTTAAATAAATTCCTGAAACAACAGTTTCATGTTGTTGTTTAGAACCTTATTTCTAAAATGCATGATGGTTATACATTGCTTATTTGTATATGGATTTATGATAGTAAATTACTGGCAGGATAGTTATTTTAAAATCCTCATGCATGGTCTATTCTTATCTGGCAGCTATTATATTTGGTTTCATTTATTCTGTTTTCATAAATTAATTTTGTTTTAATTTATATCTGCTCAGTCCTAAGAAGTATTACGAAGCCACATGAACACTTTTTTTCATGAAGTAACTACATTTCTGAAATATTACCTTGATATAAAAATGTATTTGTTGAATTGGTGTTGACATTTTATAGTATTCTTTGTATTGCTTTAATTATCTTGGTATGTATGCCTAGAATATTAAAATACATAAAAATTCTATGTGTAGTTTAAGAAGCATCACTGTGTTCTTGGAAGTGGATTTTAGTCATCAGGTGGACAGCAAGTAATTATGAAACTTTCTCCCGTTACCTAAAATTTTTCTTCTTTTGTTTTAGCACACTTCCTGGGTTGTTACAGTCAATGGATTATTAAAACTGAAATGTTATCCTCCTGGCCAGCCAGAAAAATTTTCTACATTTTTGGATAAAGTTGTTGGATTACAAAAATAAACACTAAACCCTTAGCACTTTTTTTTTAATGGATTTGAATCATAAACCCTTAGCACTTTAAAAACACTCCTGAATCCAGTACATGAAATGTAGCCAAATCAAATTAAATGCATAATACTTTTTCAGAACAATATAATTAATAAACTTCTTACATCTATGGAATGTACATATATAAGAAATTTTATGGTGTACACATTTGCAATGGGGTCAGAATTCTAATTGCAATTTAATGTACTTATTATTTTTTACCCAGTCTTCAATATGTAGTGAGAATTCACAGCTTTGGTCTTAGAATTCCAAATGGATTTGGAATCATGGGAAGAAAGTGAAATTTTAAAAATTGGACAAATGCCGTAAAGGTAGTTAGCTTTGATGTTCCTGATAATTAAAAAAATGAAATATTAACAACTTTTAAAAGTTGAGAGGAGTTGTCTTTACCTTCATAATTCAGGGAACCAATATTTTTTTAAAGCAGAAATGTTGGATCGTGCTTTATGAAGTAAAAAACTCAATAATTGCCTGAAAAACATTAGATCTGTTTATCTATTTTACTTGGAGAAACTACTTTTGTCCTAAAAGATAGGGTGAAGTGGATGTGCTAACTCTTTTCCCTCTGTAACATAAGTAGAAATGACAAAATAATTTTGCTCAGTGTCAAGTCTTTACTGGTTTGAGAAGACTAAACCAAAAGAAACTATGCTAGTAGGACAGTAGGACTTACCGTTATCTTTTTTTAAGGATTCCCCTCTCACAGTTTTAATGGAAAATTTATTTTAATTTATGTGCTTATAAAATTAGTTTTACAAATTAGGTAGGCATAATAGATTAAGTATATGGTTTAAGTTCATGTGATAACTTGAGATAGAAACACTATTCTTTCTGATGAAAGTGCATGGTCTCAAGATCTTTAGAATAAAATAGATTATCCCTAAGTGTCCATAGTTCTTTGGTAGGTAGTTTCAATGTAACTTCTCCATAAAAGTAGATATTCACCATAAAAACCAACCTTCTCTTATCTTACCATCCCAAAATATTAAATGTTCCAAACATTTTAATTTAGGATGCATTATATGATGTTTTATAGGTTTATTTTTCTGATTGTGTTTTACTTAGACTAATGCCAAAATCAATTCTTACTAATGGTAGAAAGTGGTGACTGAGAAGTACTCTGGGTAGCAAATGGAAGACAACTTGGATTAAAACTAAAAAGTGAGTAATCTATATCTACATAGTTGAGAATTCATAGCACCATGATTATAGTTGTATATTAATGTTTTACTAATGTTTTAGGAAAAGTCCTGTTCAAATCCAGGGAGAGAATTTTAGCGTTTTTTGAGCCCTCAAAATTACATTTTTCTCATTTCAGAAAAACTGTGGCTTGAAGTTTATATTTGTCACTCAGTCCTTATTTTATGGCTCACAAAGGACTAACCATAGAGACTCTGAAAGTAATGAAAGGGGTTTACTCAAATAGCAGACAGCTAAAAAGCCATGATTCCTCAAATCCTTTGCTTTCTACTTTTCTGCAAGAATGCATAATCTACAGTACATTTCATTTAGCAGAAGCTTAAGCCAGTGGTGTCAATTCTAACATCTCTGACTACAGTTTTATCAATTATGGGGTTTTATTTCAATATTTTAGAGTCCTTCTGGCTTGCCAGGGAGTCTCAAGATTATGTAGTGTAATGCCATCATTTCTTAGG